AGACTTCATGGTGTTTTGTATGAGGGTCTCAGTGGCGATGCCTGTCGAGCTGCTCTTGTTCATCATCTCTTTTATGGTCATTGCTATCGTCATGCAATGACCGATTGTCGGGCTGTCACGCAGATGTCGACAAGTATGGTGTCTCTTGCCACCTCTCTATCTGAAGAAGTGTTAGCATTGTTTCGACGTTCCAAGCTCCCTTCTGGGATATTCCAGGATTTATGTCTGTTGTTGGGCTTTTGAAAGGAGCAGGCTCGTTCAAAGTCAAACATGCTTAGTGTTTGGAAGTCCGGTCTCGTGACTGGAAAAAGACCGTAACCAGACCGGACCAAGACCGCAAAAGACCGGACCTGCGGTTACGGTCTTTTATTTTTGAAATGTAAAGACCGCAAAAAAACCGGTTAACGTGAACCGGTCTTGACCGGTTTGGACCGGTCTTTTATAGCCCCTTAAATACCCTTTCAAACGCACCCAAGAACGTACGATTTGGTAAAAAAACAAGAGAGATATGAATTAAAATGTAAATTACTTTTGGGAATAATAGATGTACCAGACTTATTTTATAGAAGCACCAATTCCTAAGGGAATTTAACGTTCTTGGGCTCGTTTTGAAGCTATTAGAGATGTTAATAAATTTACCGATTCATAATTTAAAAATATTGGCCTAAAGACCGGTCATAAACCGGTTAAAACTGATGCAGACCGAAACCAGTCTATAGACCGCAAAAAACCGCGGTCTGCGGTCTTTTTGCGGTCCGGTCTGGTCTTTTGACTTCTGGGGAAAAGGCAGACCGGTTACGGTTACGGTTAACGCCCCTGGGCATCAAAAAACCGGACCGAACCGGACTTTCAAACACTAAACATGCTCGCGTTTTATGAACATCGTCTAGATATGTTGCGCGATCCCTGTACGTTTTACCAGCTGTCCAACTTTTTTTCCAATTATGATCGCATGGATCGTCCTACTTTGTTGAGTTTGTGTGGGGTTCATGGGTTACCTCCAGATGGAACGATGACTATTCCGACACGGATGACGACAATCATTGATACACATTCAAGACTCTCAACCGCGGCAGCAAACCGACTATGATTTATCAATATTGTACTACTAGTAATAGTATATCTCCAAATTTGTACACAATAGTATTATTGACATTCGTCTCTACCATTATTGGGATTGGTCGCCGCACTTGACATAATCACCGTAGCGGGCTTTGCGCCCGAAGGCGCGCTGCAGTGGTTATGTAACAACACGTGATGTTAGAAGTAAGTGGATGTCCTCTACCTTACATAT